TAGAAAGATCCTGTTCACTCAGGACACTTGTCATTCTTTGTGGAAAAATTCTGACTTCCCCTGTTAGCTGGAAATGTTAGTTGAGTCAAACGGACTGGTAGACAGAGAAGGGAAGAAGCTCTTCCTATCTCTCTTGTTCTTTGTTCACTGTCCAGCTCACCCCTGCAGAATTAGGTCTGGACAAGACATGAACCGGCACCAGAGCAAGGGACAGAACAGTCAATGGGCACAACATCAGGCAGCCACAGGGTATGTAAAAGTGAGCACAAAGAATCAAATAATCAGACAAGAGATATGAAACAGAGAGGAAGGACCATCCACTTGTTATTTGGCTCTGTCCCTTTGTCTATAGTATTTATTTGTATTTAAGACCAGAATCAAATCACTAATTCCCCATCAGACTTTTGTTGGTAGCAGTTCTGACTCTTCCAACTTCATAGTACCTGATGTAGTTCCAACCGCCATAGTACCTTTAGGGTAATCTACATCACCCTAAATAGATCAGTGACTGTTTTCTAGCAGTCTATCTGGTGTCCCTAAAGGCAAATCAGATGTGAAGGGTCTTGAATCTAATGCTAAAGAAATTTACCTTGGCCAGGTATGGTGGCTCACACCTGTAATCCCAGCACCTTCAGAGGCCGAGGCAGGCGGATCACTTGAGGTCAAGAATTTGAGACCAGCCTGGCCAACATGGCGAAACCCTGTCTCTACTAAAAATACAAAAATTAATCAAGCATGGCGGTGGGCGCCTGTAATCCCAGCTACTAAGGAGGCTGATGGAGGAGAATCGCTTGAACCCGGGAGGCAGAGGTTGCAGTGAGCCAAGATCATGCCATTTCACTGCAGTCTGGGTGACAGAGTGAGACTCTGTCTCAAAAAATATATATATATTTTTAAAGAAATTGGTCTTATTCATTGAGGGTATAAATATTTATAAATCAGAATTGCTATTGAGTATTATTCTTTAATGTCACTAAAGAAAAATACAATTGACAGCAAGATTGGAAGAAATTTAAATACCTGGATATACAATATATTCACTCAGGATAAATGAAGTCTTAAAATTCATTCTTGCTTAATCTGTTAAGCAAGGTAGTTTTACTTCCCCAACCTAAATAGAACCCAATGTGACCACTTTCCTAGCATCAAAAATTGTCCAAACTGTTCACTTTGGCAGTACTTCAAGCTTGAGGACAGCAGAGCCACTTCAGCCTGTTTCTATACTTAAGTGCCAAGAAACCTTTAATTAGCTACTTATTCTAATTACTCTAAATAGAAACTTATCTGTTCATGTGTCCTCCTCAACCAAAGGACTCAAAGTCCTTGTACCACACCCTTTGAGAGACCTTCTCTTTCAGCTTGTGTATTACTTCTGTGGCTAGAACAGAAAAATAAGGAAAAATACAAGAAGCCACAAGTCTGGCTCATGCATAACCCCACATCATCAGTGCCCCATTTATACTGAAATGATTTGTTCAACAATCTAAACCAGACTCTCCTTTTTACAATTTGAATTCGGTCAACTTAAAAAAAAAAAAAAAAAAAAAAAAGAGGTCAAAAGCACTTCTAAAAGCCAATCTGAACAGGACAGAGTAAGTTTTAAAAACAATTGCACAGTGACTTCCTCAGACTGGTATATGCTATTTAATATGTAAGAAAATTAGAAAAAGTTCTAAGGGGCCTTGAAGGAAGTGGGAGGAATAGGGTGAAAAATAAACCAATAAACAAGACAGCACAACTGTCAGCTGCCTAGGGCTAAGCTATGTTCTCTTCCTGCTGGCTGTGGATCAATACACTAAGTAAAGCAGAAGAATGCCACGCCTTTGGAGACAAGCTGGTAGGAAAGAATATGTGCCTTTATTCACAACATGAAATAGATCTGAAATTATGTGTATTTCATGGGATTTGGAGGATGATTTAAAACCCATAAGCATAAACCCTTAAGAAGTCTAAAACATGAATAAGATTAACCCTGAAAGAAATGTCAAATTTACTATTAATAATAAAAGTACACTATTCATACATTTGCTGTAAATTGAATGGATGAGGAAAAATGGTAATAGGTCAGCAAAAGTACATTTCAAAATCACTGATTTAGGAAAGGCTTATTAAATAAAATTGTGGATGATAGGACTTACATCATCAGTCTTTTAATTTTGTACATTTTGAACATCATCCAAAAATACTAATCCACTGTTGAAATTCTATGAACGGGAGAGAAAAGAAATATTCTACCCGCTGTAATCTTCCAACCCATAGCATTCACATCCTGCTGTAAATGTATCAGTACTAAATCACATTCTTTTTTTGGTTTTGCTTTTAAATCCTTTTGCAGTTTACTGTTTGGCAACATCATGTTTCTAACAGTTCTTTTCCACTTTATGTTCTGATTTACATGAACAATACCAAAAATGAAGACAGAAATGGAAAATTTCAAGCATATATTCAATTAGAAACCACAAAACTTGGATTTTAAAAAATACTGTTTTATGTGTTTGGTGTGTTACGTTGGTAAGTTACAAGAATTGTTGCCTATTGAGAAGCCGGAAAATCGATTAAAATTAATTATTTGTACATTCATTTTCATCCTATACCCTCTGCAGACTTTTATCAAAACTGAACAATAATAGTACCATAGCATTCTACATATGGAGGTGTGCCTACGTTTTCAGGTTCTTGTATTTTTAACGTCATATCACCATCAGCTAATTATTACAATTTTGATGACAGATATTCTTATTAAATCATCTTTTCAATGTACTGAGGATTCTTTCTTAAAAGCTAATAAAAAATCTCCAATCTTTCACATTCTTCTATAAAGCAGTAAGAAGTGGAAGCATGAGTCCTCCCACAAAGAAAATGATTAAGCACTTGTGTAATGACTATCTGCCCTTGACTTCCACCGAAGTAGCAAGTGTTCCTGTCTCCTGTTTTTTGGGGGAGAAGATGAGTTTGTGTTATATCATTCAATTGTTCTCCTAATTACAACTAACTATTCACATCAACACATTTATGTTAATCAAGTATGATAGCAGTCTGCACTGTCTTTTTCTCTACAAACTCCTTTGATTGTATAGTTTGATTATTTGTACCTTAATTTCCAATAGCAAGTCCTTTTAATTGTATTGAGGTTGTGTTTGTGAAAACTTTTTAACTTGTTCTTTTCATTGAAATTGATTTTTCATATATGAAAATAGTTTTGGGGGGATTCAAATTAATACTTGATTTTTTTATGTTACTGTAAAACGGATTCCTCCAAAGCACATCGCCAAAAAAACTAAACACATTGGCTGCACTGTGGCATTAATTAAAATTTTTCAGTAGGTAAGCCCTAATGACATAAAAAATTACATAAGAAAAACAAGGGGGAGTATAGGTGTGGAGAGAGCTATTGTATAAGCAAATAGGAAGACTGCTCACAATGTGAGAGAACACAAACAGGATGTATAAATTGCAAAACCAATGCCAAAGTTTTCTGGTAGCCAACATACATAGAATTAGAATGATCGTTTCACCTGGTGAGATTCCAAAAGGAAATAAGTAATGGTATTCAGAATTGTTTCTTTAATGAAAGAGGTAACTGAAATCAAAAAGTTACATAACTCTTTGCTGAACATAAACAACTGCCTGAGGGTAGCTTGTACAAATATAGAATACTTTTATTTAGGCTTTGAGAGTATAAGCTCAAATTCTCTTGAATAGTCCCTTAAGTACGATTCTCGATTTCCCAATAACTTTTAATGAGTTAAGCTTAATTGTGAAGCAGGATGAAGAGAATATTGTAGGTAAAAATAACATACTATGCATATTTAAACATCACGCATTGTGCTTTATTATCTACATATTTCCCACATTGTCAGTTTCCTAGCTCTTTTCATTGTCAGATTTATAAATGATCAATTTGAGACTTCAATTTGTTTAATTTCATGCATGTCAGGAAGTAGAAATAGTATGCAATAGATAAAACATAACCGAAGTTATTTTTAAATGAAATTATCTGAGCAGCCTGAGTCCGCTTGTAATCTGAAAGGAGGGGTGAAATGGATATAATCTTAGGGATTTTCAGATAACAAACTCCATAATGCATTCTTACTCATGATTCTATTCAACATTAGAGAAAACACGAGTAGTATCAAAGAGCTACCTTCAGACATCACTTTAAAATTGAGCCCCAGATACTTGGGTATGAAAAATGACCAAACTTTAATGTCCTTTGCCAAAGCCTAGGTGAGAAACTTAATGGAAACAATAAGCTCATCTTACCAAGAAATACTAATGGTAAAGCCAGAGAGTAAGCAGCTGACATTAACGTCTTATTTTGAGCTAGATCCCATGTGGCACTCTGGATATACAAAGACAAACTGCGCAGTCACTTAATAGCTCAGTGAAGGAGATAAAGGAGTAAATACAAATCTCAGCAGAGTCATGATAAACACTATGATAAATACTATGAAAGAAATAAGCATAGAATGCAATGAAATTACATAAGAGGGGAATTGTCATAGGCTGAGAAGCTTTCATAGAATAGAAGACATTGACTAAATCTTAAACTAGGTGCCACCAGATAGAAAACAATTTGTACTAAATTTCTTAGAGAAAATTTTCTCTTTTTTATTTTCTTTGTCATTGTCTTGAGTTCTTTGGTCTTTGTCTTTCAAATGAACTTTAATATCACCTTGTCAAGCTCTATATAAACATACTCAGAATTGGGACTGTGAATTTATCTTTAACACGCAAGTCTTTCCATTCATAAAACAGTGTATCAATTTATATTAGCCTTCCTTAGGTCCTTACACATAATTTAAATGTTTCCATGCAGAAAGACTTGTACACATTTTATTATATTTGTTGCTCTTTTGAATGGAATATTTTAACTACATTTAAAATGATTTGTTAAAATGAGTCATAGTGAATTACACATTATCTTTTATGTTAATCTTATTTCCAGAAACTATGTAAAAATTTTAAAACTAATTGTAATAACTTGTTAGACTGTCTCAGACATTATATAGAAATAATCCTATCACCTTTATTTTGTTTTTATCATTCCTTTATAATCATTGTGAATATTTATTTGTTCTGATTTTTATTTTACTGATATAGCCAGGCCCTCTGAAACAATGTTGAATACAAGCCGTTATGGTGAGCATACTTGTCTACTGTACTTCAAAGAGAATGCTGCGAATCTTTCTCCATTAAGTATAATATTTACAGCTTATTTTTCCTATGACATGAATGGATGTCAAATTTTTGTCATACTCGTTTTCTAATTTTTTACTGTAAACATACCCAGAGATGTACAGATATATAACATTTAAAAAAATAATAAAGCAAGCACCCATGTAAATACCAAGCAGGTTAAACAAAATAGAACTATGACAGTATTTTTAAAGCCCCTGAATTTTCTTCTCCAATCATAATATCTTCACTAATCAAAAACTATAAAGCATCTAGCAAAAACTGGGAAAATAATCTTTGCTGTTGGGGTCTGCCAACAATTTCTTAGACATGACAACCAAGCACAGTTAGAGAAGGAAAACTAAATAAATTTAATTAAGAATTTCTGCTGTTTGAAAAATACTTGTAAGAGAACAGAATAGAGAAGCCACAAAGTGGGCGAAAACATTTGCAGATCATATATCTAATAAAAGACTTGTATGTAGAATATATAAGGAACTCTCAAAACTCACTAACAAGAAAAGAAATTGGCAGGCAAAACATATGAACAGACATTTAACCAAAAAAGATACGTATGGCAAATAAGTACATGAAAAGATTAGGAAAGTTAGCCATTAGGAAAATGCAAATTAAAGCCACAATGAGCTGCCACTACCCATCTATTTGGATAGATAAAATTTTGAAAATACTTACCATACCAACTGCTAGCAAGGACGTAGAGCAACTGGATCTTTCACACATTGCTGTGGGAATGCAACATAAAATAGACACTTTGAGAAACAAATCGACAGTTTCTTATAAAGTTAAAAATAAAGTTATCATACAAACCAGAAATCCCTCTCCCAGGTATTTACTCAAGTGAAATGAAAACTTGTGTTCACAGAAAAACTGTATGTGAATGCTCATAGTGGCTTTGTTATCATTCAAAACTGGAAACAGTCCAAATGTTTGAACTAGGTACTGGTTAAACAAATTCTGGTATATCTATACAACAGAATAATGCCAGGATAAAAAGAAATGAAGACCAAATGCACAAAACGGCATAGGTGAATCTCAAGTGCTTTATGCAAGTGAAGGAAGTCAGACTCAAAGACTCCATCCTGTATGATTCCATTTGTATGACATTGTGAAAAAGCCAAAATTATACGGACATAAAACAGATCAGTGATTGCCATGGCTAGTGAAAACAAGCTGAATAAATAGGGACTGCACCATGGCACATTTGGCAGAGGGAAAGAGTGATGGACTTGTTCTGTATCTTGATTGTGACGGTGGTTAGGGGTCTGTAGCTATTTGTCAACACTCACAGAACACAGCAGTTTTTTGAAAGGATAAATTTTACTATATCTATTTTACATCACAATAAAATAAAAAGAGCCAACTTTATCTAATTTTAAAAGATTATATATAGTAAACTTCATTGTGGTAAATGTTTATATGATGTGTCATTTTCCTTATATTTATAGAGCACTTCTTTGAAGTAGAACTTGTTTTTTCGTTTTTTCTTCTTTACATTCTTACAATCTTTATCTTTTAAGTGGTGTGTTTGGCTACTTTAACTTAATGTACTTACTAATCTAGTTTAGCTTAAATTTACCTTTTAGTTATTTTTCATTTGGCCTGTGTCTCTATTTTTTATTCTTTCCTTCTTACATTATTTTGGATTAATCAGATATTTTTAACTTAGTTCTCCTCCTATATTTGTATATATATTTTATATATTTTCAGTTATTATCCTACAATTTACAGTATGTATCCCTGCATTCTATACTCTATCTTAAATATTCCAAGGAATTTACAACTAACATTTCCATTTCCCCTCTCCCATCCTTTGTGGTATTGATGACATACATTTTGCTCCTACATATGTGACAATCCTTATAAAATATTTTAGTTGTTGTTTTAAGTATCCAACATTCATTTATATTTACCCACATGTTTTTCTGCCCATTGTTTTTCTTTCTTCCCTGAAGTTCTATATTATTTGGGATTATTTTTCTTCACCCTTAAGAATATACTTTAGCATTTTGGGGGATACAGGTCTGCTGGCAATCAAATCTCTCAATTTTTATTTGTCTCAAAGCATCTTTATTTTAATCTTTTATTTTTGAAAGATATTTTTGCTGCATGTAGAATTCCAGGTAAGAAGATTTCTTATTGATACTAGCACACTAATTTTTATTAAATATCTGGTTTTCCTATTTTCTATTGGAAGTCAATTCAGGCTTACTGTTGTTCCTTTGAGGATAACATGTCCCTTTTTTCTGGCTGCCTTTAAGATATTTCTCTTTGACTTTGAGTTGAGCAATTTGAATATGACGTGCCCAAGTGTGGTATTCTCTGTCTGGGGTTCCCAAAGATTTTTGAATCTTGGTTGATGCCTTTCATCTGTATGGAAAACTTTTAGTCATTACTTCTTGATACATTGTTTTTGCTCCACTTTCTCTTTCTCATTGTTTAATATTTCTTTTTCAAACGTATATCTTTTTACTGCTCACCATATGTTTCTTATTCCCTGTTCTTTTTCATTCATGTATGTGTTCTTTAGCTTGAATCTTTTTTAATTGAACTACCTTCCTGTTTAATCTTGTTTTCTGCTGTGCCCAATAAACTTCCAAAGCCATCTAATTGATACAGAAGGGAAGTGCTGGAAAGGGAAGGGTGTGGTCCCTTTAAATAATAGGGAAGAAGGGAAGAGCCGGGTAGAGAAGGGCATGGTCCCTGGCTAGGGCTTCACCCCTGGGCCTGTGCTCATGGACCTAGGTGAGGACAGGTATTTTTGTTTTCCTGCCCAAATGTTGCATTTCCCAAGACCACTATGGCCTGCCACACCCCTCATTCCTGTGCCTATAAAAACCTCAAGATCCAGCAGGCAGACACACAAGCTGCTGGATGTCGAGAGAAGGTCGAGGGGAGCACACTAGCCAAAGAGCACAGGACAGACACCACCATGCTGGCAGGCCATTGATGGGGGAATGAGGCAGAGTTTGACTGGAGCAGTCAGAGGAGAGCCCAGGCTGCCAAGCAGCCTGACTCCAGGGATAAACCATCTCTCCTTTCTGACTTCCCCATCTGCTGGGAGCTACTTCCACTCGATAAAACCTTGCACTCATTCTCCAAGCCCACCTGTGATCTGATTCTTCCAGTACACCAAGGCAAGAACCCTGGGACACAGAAAGCCCTCTGTCCTTGCGATAAAGCAAGAGTCTAATTGATCTAATTAGCACAAGGGGCCTGCAGACAGCAAAACTAAAAGAGCACACGCCCACTGGGGCTTCAGGAACTGTAAACATTCACCTCTAGATGCTGCCGTGGGGTCAGAACCCCATAACCTACCCATCTGTATGACCCCTAGAGGTTTGAGTAGCTGGGCAGTGAAGAAGCGAGCCACTCCCCTTGTCACACCCTGCAAGGGGGACAAGGGAACTTTCCCATTTCACAGTGAGTTCTAAATGTAGGAGACTGTATTTTTCAATTCCAGACTGTCCTTTTACATTCTTAAATATTCCAAATAACAATTTGAGCAACACAGACAAAAATAGAGGATTTTCTGTGTGTCGTTTTCAGCTTTCCTATTTTCTCAAAAATACTAATTGCAATTATTTTAAAATCTGTCTGATAAGCTTCAATAATGCATTACCTTTGGCTCTGCCTTTGAATCTAGTTTTTCCTCTTCATTTTCGTTCACTTAATCTTCTTCTTAGCATATGTTTACATTTTTGTTTAGTTGCTGAATATTGTGAATGAAGAATTGTAGAGGGTTTTTCTGCGGACATCTTCCACCAAAAAGAACTTTTTTATGACAGGAAAATAGGGTACTTATTGAATATATTAATTTCATCAAGAATTTGTTAGAACTGGCCTCTTCTCATTTTTATCTTATTCTTAGGATACAACTCTTAATCCTAAAGTGTGGCCTTACTTTTAAGGCTGTTGCACTTGCATTGGGTCTCACCTAAGAAGAGCCAAGGTTATTTTCCAAAATCCCACCATCATGGCAGGATTTGAGTTTTAATCCCTGTCTTAACACACATGGATGCTGAAATCTTTGTTCAACTTTGCAGCTTCCCATGTTTTCCTTGGATTTTTAACATGCACATGTTTAGCCAAAAAGCTGACCAATTCCTTGAAGGTTATTTGAATGTAGATATTTAAACTTTGTTTCTGTGGTTCCCTACTCTCTAGAAGTTTGCCTGCCTCAGATTCGGACCTCTGTCTTTTCAGTCCGAAAATACAGCCAGTTTTGATTCAAACTCTCTTTCCCTGCGCCTTTGATAAATGTCCTTCAAAGATTGTGCGGGGAATTGGAGGTGTGTGCCTATTCTCTTAAGGATCATAGACTCTTTATGTCACGCCTCTGTTGCTCACCAATACCTTCAGACTTTTGTTCTATGTATGTTTGCAGTTTTTATAATAATTTTTGGTAGAAAAGTTAGGGTAATACTTCTTCATGGCTGGAACTGAAAATCTGTGGGAACTTTGTCTTCCTTGAATCTAAGGATTCATATATTTCATCTGTTCCATAAAGCTTCATGTTTAGCAGCTTGAACATTATTCTTTTCCATTCTTTCTATTCCTTCTTTAAATCATTTTAAATATATTAAAACTAATCATTCTATTGCTCTTTTAACCACTTAACAATTCTTTCATAATTTTAAATCCTTATACCTTCAAGTTAATCTGGGTGACTCCTCAGCTCTTCCAGAAGTCAATTTCTCTCTTCGGATGGGCCCAAATGGGTGTGTTAATTCCTTCGACTGTGTGTGTGTGGTTTTTTTTTTCCAATTTCAATTACCATATATTTTATTTCTACAAAAGTTTTTGGGTTTTTTCCCTGGAAAAAATGGTGTTTTCTGTTTTTTGTTTTTTAACAATTTATGCTCTTCCTTCCTGATAGTTTCTATTTCTTCTTGTTTACTTTCATAGCTTCTTTTAGTTTAATCTCAAGTTCTTGGAATTTAAATTATCTTGTGTTTTGGGGTGCTAACTTCTCCTATAGTGAATCATTATCTTAGATGGTTTGGAATCTTCCTCAGCGCCTCTTCATTAATAATTTTTTGTTATTATTTTTGTTTTATTTTACTGTAATTCCATTCCTGTAGAGTTACAGGAGTGTCCTTAATGAGTGGTTAATATCTCCAGTCAGGAATAAATTTAAGTCTTGGAGTTTCCCCCACAACAAGGATAATGCAAATTCAGAATCAATACCCACCCATGCCTGAGGCCCGGGATTTCAGTTTCCTATGGAAACCCTTTTTTCTCAAACTGTACAAAATTTCCTGTGGCCTGTTTTGGTTGCTGGGTGGATTCTTTCGAATTTTTTTTATTACCTCTTAAGTTTTAGGGTACATGTGGATAAACGTGGCAGGGTTGTATCATATGATATAGTCCTGTTGGCCCCATGTTGGGCGTGCTGCAACCCATCAAACTCGTCACGCACCCATGCAACTCGTCATTTACTCAGGTATAACTCCCATGCAATCCCTCCCCATTCCCCCCGCCTTCCGTGATAGGCCCGGTGTGTGATGTTCTCCTTCACCGAGTCCCAAGGTGATCTCATTGTTTCAGTTTCCCAACCATGAGTGAGAACTCGCGTGTTTGGTTGTCTGTTCTTGCTGATAGTTGCTGAGAAGGATGGTTCCAGCTGCCATCCATGTCCCTACAAAGGCACACAAACTCATCCTTTTTATGGCTGCATAGTATTCCATGGTGTATATGTGCCACATTTTTCTTAATCCAGTCT